TCGCCGGATTTGCGTTTACGTTCCCCGGCCGGCAAAACGCCGCCGCCCGACGGCCCCTTGTCCGAGACGCCCTTGAGTCTCCGCTCGGTCCCGCCTCGCTCCAGGCTACCGTGGCGCTCCCGCCCGGGGGAGGGTCTGTCGCCTCGCGGGGGCCGCTCCGAATCGCTGAATCGGCCCCCGTCTCTGCTGCTGCCGCCGGGGCTGCCGTCCGGAGAGGGGCGCCGACGCCTTACTGTCCTGTCAGAGGTGTCGGGCGAGTGGTCGAGGTGCCGCCCGTCCTCCACGAGGCGCCGCTTGCGCACGGGCTCCCGCCCGTGCAGCTCCTGCTCCAGAGACCAGGGCTCGCGTGCCCGCCGCTCGCGTTCCAAGTGTTCGAGGGGCTCGAAGGGGGAGGCCCGCACCCGCTCTCGGAGAGCCGGAGGATTGGGCCATTCGGCGCCGGGGAAGAGCTCCCTGTCCCTGAAGTGAAGCGCCGGGGGAGTCCGGTCTCGGACCCTGAGAGGCTCCGGCGCAGCGCGGTGGACAAACGACTCGGCCACCATGTCAAAGGGGGCGAGTGGGAGAGGTTGCAAAAACTGCTGCTGGTAACGATGCTCCGTGTCAGCAAAGTCCACTCGGAGTCTCCTCTCGGGCCCCCCCAGAGGGAAGCCCCGCATGTTCGTGCAAGCCGCCTGCGCAGCATCCAGACTTTCGTATTGAATATAGGCCCAGGTGTCCCCCTTCCTGTAGTCTATAGTCCTGATGGTGCCAAAGCGGTCAAATTCCCTGGCAAGGGCGGCCAAGGGCACCCAGTGCCCCAGGCCCCCCACCCACAGACGTGTGGTGGGCGTGGCTTTTCCGTAGCCTATCTTGATGGGGTTGCAGCCCACTATTTTGCCAGACATGCTGAGCTTAGCACGGTGCGCCATGTCCAGGTTTTCAAATTTCAAAAAGCCGTACGTGCTGGTCTGGTCCCTCATGGGCCTCTTGATGTCCACCTCCGTGATGACGCCAAACCTGTTGAAGGCTCTCCGCAGGTCAGCCTCCGTGACCTCGGTGTCCAGGTTGCCCAGAAACAAGGTCCGGTTAGCTCTTTGGTCGTCCTCGGGCGATATAAAATCCTCCTCGCGAAAGGCGGCCCGCTCGGCGATGAAAGCCGGCCGGGCCCGGGCATCGAACAGGGCGAAGTCCCTGTCCCGCTCCAGCTCGCGGGGCAGGGGCGGCGGCGGCGGAGGGGGCAGCCGACCCAAGGCCAGCTGCTGCAGCCGGTAGTCCCTGTACCCCAGGGCGGTGGGCGACAGGGTCCTCTGCAAGTGTCTGTGGCTCGGCGCAGCGCCATAGAGGTCTCTCTCAACCGGCGAGCGGCTCCTCCTGCGGTTAATGTACACCGCCTCGATTTTCAGCGGCCTGTCGTAAAGCACCAGGCGGCCCCTGGCGTGCTTGGCGGCCCGGGCGTCCTCCGGCTTCCGAAAGTTGACGAATGCGATCCGCTCGTCGTTGCTGCGGCTCAGCTTGACGCTCACGTCACCGAATTTTTTGAATTCGTGAAAGAGCCCGTCCTCGACGTCCTCGTCGCTCAGCTGGCTGCCCAGGTCGCTGATTTTCAGGGTTTTGTACTCACCCTCGGCGCCGAGAGCGGGCAGCCGCTGGTCCCCCCCGCGCGACGTGCTTCTCGCCGCGGCCAAGTCCAACGAGAGGCTCAGGCTGCCGTGGTTCTTGCTCACGGAGCCGACGGCGCCGGGCTGGCAGCTGTGGTTGTTGGCGAGCCGACTGTGCCCCTCGAAGTCTCGGTCCCGTTTGTCGCCGAGCAGGCTCCTCCTCGTCGAGCCGCCGTCGTTCTTGCCGTTATTGTTACTCCCGCCGGACAGCGACAGCGGACCCATTTTCTTGCTGCTCGGGTGGCATCCTCCCCGCTCGCGAATGTCGTCCAAGGCCCGGGAGCGTTTTTTCAGCGGCGACCGCTCTTTACCTTTCATTTCGGTCCACGCGCAGACGACCCTGGGGCGCCTGTGGGGGTTCGGTTGCAGCAATTCTGCGCGCGACCGCAGAATTTTGGCCAACGAAATTCGGGTTCTTCACTGAGCCTGCGGCAAAACAACGACGGTCGCCATTTTCTCAAGATTTGCTTTCTGTCCCGCCTCCTAACGCGCGATTGGTTGGAAAAGTGGGCGGAAGATGTGAACGCGCACGTCAATCAAAAAACTAGCAGGGGCAAAAATGAGTTCTCTACACATCAACGTAAAATCAAATAACAAAGTTATCCTTCGTAGATACCATTAACTGAATTGATGATTTTAATTTTTTAATAAATTTCATTTATTGCAGTGAAATTCTTCTAAACAACCTGTTTCCTTCTTCGATGGGCAGTACATCAACATCTTGTCTGAAATTCGTCCATCCATCCATCCATCCATCCATTCATTTTTAAAATCCGCTTATCCTCACGAGGGTTCCGGGCGTGCTGGAGCCTATCCCAGCTGTCTTCGGGTATTAGGCGGGGTGCACATATACAAAAACAAACATTCGCTCTGCCATGCATGTTTTTGGAATGTGGGAGACAACCGGAGTCCCTGGAGAAAACCCACGCGGGCACGGGGACAACATGCAAATTCCACACAGGAAGGCCGAAGCCGGAATCAAACCCTGCCCCTCTGCACTGTGAAGCCGATGTGCTAACTAGTTTCCCACCGTGGCGCCCTGAAATTAGTCCATTAGTGTAATTGTTTTTATATGGCACCGCAGGGAGGGGCAATGCTTGTTACATCCAGCTTCTTTCATCTTCGGCAGCTTGCTACAGTAAAGCCTCTCCTCTCTCAAGAGCACGGTAATTCATGCCGTGGTCACATCCCAGCTGGATTACCATAATGCACTTTACTTTGGAGTCAGCCAAGCCAATCCTCCGTTAAGTGTTTCCAGTTGGTCCAGAATGCTGCTACTCGTAAGAGGGAGCACATCACTCCTACTCTGGCGTCCCTTCACTGGCTCCCGACACATTTTAGAGTACTTTTGAAGATCCTATATTTTGTTTTCCAATCTTGAAATGGCCTGGCGCCACCTTACCTCTCTGAGCTCCTCCAGCCCCTACGCACCTGCCCGGGACCTCTCTGAGCTCCTCCGCCCCTACGCACCTGCCCGGAGCCTCACGTCTGCAGACCAGACGTTATTAGAGGTACCGAGAACTAAGTGGAGGCTCGGGAATGGAGCCTTTTTCGTTGCCGATCCCTCTCTTTGGAATGACCTCCCGCCCAACATAAAACTCGCCTCAAAACAAATTTTTATTCTTTGGCTTTTGACTCAACATGAGTTTGACTGTTTTGTGCTTTCTACTGTCTTCGTTATTAATTTATTGTTTTATTGTTTGTTGTTGTATGAATGATATTTGCTCCATGTGCAGCACTTTGTCTCCAGCGGTGGTTGTTTTCAAGTGCTCGAGAAATACACTTGATGATGAGATGAGTTGACCACACGGTGGCAGTGTCACAGCAGACATACGTTCAACACCAGCGGTTCTCAACCCTTCGCGTAGAATTCTGCGATTGGAAAGAAAATGTCAGATTTGACTTCCCCTTAAAGAATGCAAACAAGATCAAATCACATCAAGTATGAACGGAATGTCCAAAACGCACTCCGTAGCACCTCCTGAAATGTCCTAAAAATTAATCATGAATTCTTTACAAAGTGATTACATGCGTAACAATCCCGTTTTTTTTAAACATTCAAAGAACAAATAAATTGTAAGTTGAGGGGTTCGTAGGTTTTTGAATGGATGGCTCGACGTTAGGAATGGGCAAAAAGGAGAGATGGATTTCGTTTGAACGCAGCTTTTTATTTTTCTCAACGTCTTCTCCGCAACTCCCGAACGAACACACCTTTTTTCCGGTACCGAAAATACTTCCTGCTTTTCTTCGCCAATCAGATGCAAGCAACATAAGAATATTTCAGCAATTATGAAACAAAATACAATTTAGGTCACTGTAACATAAAATAATATAATTCACAAATATAAAATGATAATGAACAATTTGACAAAAGCTTACAAAATGGACATTTATAGACGGGCATTTTTTTTCGGTCATGCGAAGCTGCAAATGAAAAACGCAACACACCGTATTATTGCTTAAGCGTTACTCGGCAGTAGTAGAAATGAAGCTCATTATTTTTTTTTGTTGTTGTTATTGAAAGACGCGTCGTGTTTGCTTTTCTGCGAATCCCGTGTCAAAATCAAACTGACTCGAGCCATCTATCAAATACTCTGCCAAGCTGGATTTATCAGCTCTAAAGAAATCAGCATCTGTGGTGAGTATCATGTATTTAAAGTGCTTGTCTTTTTCATTATCACCTGAATAGCGATAGTGACCTGCTCCAAATAGAATGTGGAGGTTCGGAGGAAGAGAAAGGGCTATCTGCTATATGTATCTCTCTCTCTCTCTCTCTCTCTCTCTCTCTCTCTCTCTCTCTCTCTCTCTCTCTTTAATGCCAATGCACATTGTTATACTGTATTGTTTTTTTTCCCCTCTAAAATTCCAATGTGATAGTGTTGATATTAGGAGGTTGCTTCGGTCACTAAAGTCCCTGCTGAAGGCCCCGGTCTGAAATGCACCACCCAACACTGGTGCACTTACTGTAGCCACAACATTTCAACCCCATCTCATGCTGGGAAGCGCAGAAATGAAAAAAAAAAAAAGCTTTTTGATGATTTGGTGGGGGGCGGGGGGTAAAATACAAATTGTCTTCCCATGACATTTGGGGAGCTTTGGAAACTCAAGGTTCCGCTGTTCACGTTATTTTTGTTCCATCCATTCAGAAGCAGACAGCAGATGTAGACAGAGCAAACCTTTTATTTTGGGTCATGCTATCATGCGTCACAGACATCAAACAACAAAGAAAACAAGAATTAATTGCTACCATGTCCTTTGGTGTCATTAATGTGAAAACAGCAAAGAATTAGAAGAACGTTTTCGTGTTCTAATTTTTTTAAATGGAATTTTTGGTCCAAGTACCGCCTGTGCTGCGGTTTGGCTTCACGACTTTTCTGTGGCAAAGTGAAACGTGATTAGGGGGGGCTATGCGTGGGCCTCTGTGCACAGGATACTCGACAGGCGACGTCGCATGTTTGCAGTTCACCATTCACAAATGTACCAGATTCCTTTTTTTCTTTTTTCTCTGGAACCTTACTCGCATCGATTTGCTGAAAAAGCCCATTCGCATATTTTTGTGCTGTGTGTAACATGTAGCACCACGAGTGGACACGTATCACCGAGTCACAAATGTCACTCAATGGCGAAGAGAGAAAAAGCGACTCGTCTTTTTGCAGGCTGCAAATTGGCAACATGCATCAAGCACTGTTGTTGCATTTTTTTTCTTTCTAAATCAATCATCGTGTTTGATTGTTGAGGAGTTTGAAATGATCTCAAAAGTGTTTTGTGTCTATAGAGCCAATTACTCTTGGAGTTTCATTATTTGCCATCCAGGGCTGAGTCCCGAACCCTGCGACTGACTATTGACGATTCACTCGAAACACGGCGGGAGGGGACTACTTTTTGGCTCCGTCAGTGGCCGCAGGGAGGAAGTGCTGGGGGGGAGGGGTGCGTGCGGGGAAAGTTACCAAGCAGCATGGCCGTCATGTCGGCCACGAGAGAATGCTGCCCGGCTCTTTGGCTTTCATTCGCAGTGTGAGGGTGAGCGTAAGCACCCATGCAGGAGGAGGGAAAGGATTCAGGTCCGAGGACGCAGCCGGGAGCCGACGTGCCTCCGACGACTCCTGAAGCCCCTGGCCACAGGTTGCCCTGCATCTGGGTTTCAGGAACACATGTGCGCACGCCTTAATATACCACTTGGGAGGTTATTGAGATCCCAGCTGTTGTTCGACCCATTTTTTTGTTTTGCCTTGACTTGCAAGTGCAACCTGGAGTTACGAGCGCTGTCGGGTCAGCAGCCAACTCAACTCACTTCGCAATAAGCAGCAATTTGGGACCAAAGGGGCTTCGAGCTGTTCATTGTCAAGCCCACTTTAAGTTGTCTGTCACACTGAAGATAAAACAAAGACAATTTCACCTGGTGTATCTAAAGCCGAGCCTTTAAGTCGGCTCGTGCAATGATAAATGCCATAAACTGTGCTTATGAAATGCATCGATGAGGTGTTATACCACTTACGCAATAGTTAAACACAGATGTTGGAGCAACACATGTAGACAGAAAACATAATCGTACAAACAAGGTGCAAGGCACTTTTTTTTTTCATCCATCCATTGAATGAAAGGTGCTATCAAACGAACATTTGCGTACATTTTTTTTGTTTAATTTATGCATTCGCCGTGGTTTGGACATTCAGAGTGTTTGAATTGATGTCTGCGTGTACCGCCGATGACGTCGGAGGTCAGTAGAGTCCGTCCATCGCGCAGTCGCATTTTCTCCAGGGTAATCTTTAGATTGTTGTGAAACTCAACAACACGAAGCAGATGATTTGAGCCGTACCTGGTAGGCGTCATGGCGGGGGAGGAGGGAAATATCGTAGGTCGTGCTGAAGTGGTTGCGGACCTCCTGAATCTTCCCGTAGCGTTCTCGCTTTCTCCACTTGGCTCGACGGTTCTGAAACCAAACCTACGCGTGCAATCAATATTGTGCATATTAACAGACATCCTATTGTATCAAAAGAACCGTGTCCATATTTCGACCTCTCAGTTTGCAGTCGTTGTTCAAATGTGACTGTGGAATCCGCAGCTATTTTCTTGGTATATTTACATTTCGGTAGGTTGACGCTTTGCATTGCTCTTGAGGCCAATAAAAGTCTTGGTAGAAGTTATTATTCGTGTATATCAACAGATGCGATGGAAATGATTTTTTGGTTTTTTTTTCTGCTTTCAAAGCTTGTTTGTAGGGAAGAAAAGAATGAAATCTCCGGAACCCCCCCCCCCCCCCAAAAAAAAAATCCCAGGTCTGTCTCTGGAACAAAAACACAAGAGGGTTGCATGTATGCGAAACAGGTCGGCGGTTGGTCCACCCACCTGGACTCGGGCCTCCGTGAGCTCCGTCCTCAGGGCCAGCTGCTCGCGAGCGTAGACATCCGGGTAGTGCGTCTTCTGGAAGACCTTCTCTAGCTCCTCCAGCTGGAACGTGCTGAAGGTGGTGCGGTTGCGCCGCTTTTTGTTCTTGCCCGACAGATCGATGGAGTCGGCGATGGAGTCGCCGCAGAGCAGCGAGCCGCCGGCCTCCTTCAGCTTGTCCAAGCGCTCGCCGCCCATGCCCGAGTAGTCCGGGCTCTTCAGGGCACCTTTCTCACGGACTGAGGTGTGGAAAAAGGAAAAAA